TTAATACGAGGACCAGTGAGGGACTTGGTGAAAATATCTGCAAGCTGATCATTCGACTTCACAAACTTTGTAGCAATATCTCCCGAGAGTATCTTTTCTCTAACAAAGTGGCAGTCAATCTCAATATGTTTAGTTTTCTCATGGAACACTGGATTTGACGCAATATGAAGAGCAGCTTGATTATCACACACAAGTCCCATCTGACTAATCTCACCAAATTTCAACTCCTTGAGCAATTGTTTGATCCAAATTAGCTCACATGTCGCCATAGCCATCGCTCGATATTCTGCTTCTGTACTAGACCGAGCAACCACATTCTGTTTCTTGCTCTTCCAGGACACCAAATTTCCTCCTACTAAGATACAATATCCAGCGTAAGAACGTCTATCAGAAGGTGATCCTGCCCAATCAGCATCCGAGTATCCAACGATCTGCTCATGGCCTCGATCCTCAAACAATAAACCTTTGCCTGGAGCTGATTTTATATACCGAAGAATGCGAACAACTGCATCCCAATGACTATCACACGGAGAATCCATAAACTGACTCACAACACTCACAGAAAAGGAAATGTCAGGTCTTGTCACTGTAAGGTAATTTAATTTACCAACCAACCGTCTATATCTTGCAGCATCGCTAAGAGGCTCCCCCTGTCCTGGCATAAGTTTAGAATTCGGATCCATCGGAGTGTCAACAGGTCTACAACCTGTCATTCCTGTCTCCTCAAGAATATCTAAGGCATACTTTCGTTGTGAGATCACAATACCTGAGCTAGACTGAGCGACCTCAATACCCAGAAAATACTTTAGTTTGCCCAGATCCTTAGTCTGAAAGTGTTGCAAGAGATGTTGCTTCAATTTAGTAATACCATCCTGGTCATTGCCGGTAATAACAATGTCGTCAACATAGACCACCAGATAAATACAGAGACTCGAGGCAGAATGCCGATAGAATACAGAGTGATCAGCTTCACTCTGAATCATGCCAAATTCTCGAATAACTGTGCTGAACTTACCAAACCAGGCTCGAGGAGACTG